TGCAAAAGTAGCAATCTTCCACAGGCATTTCCCTTTTTTGCTAAATATGGTATTATATGTATATTATATATACAGTACATGTACAGCCTTTTGCACAAATTATGAGACATTTTTATATATATAAATATACAGCCTTTTGCACAAATTATGAGACATTTTTATATATATAAATATACCTAACCAAATATCAAAAACACCCAAGAAATTATGGGATACCGTCGCTGATATTTTGTCTGTAACAACCTGATGCTAGGCAATCATGACAAAATATAATAGAGATATACCATAATTTCTGGGGTGTTTTTGATATTTGGTTAGGTACAGTATATTTATATATATAAAAATGTCTCATAATTTGTGCAAAAGGCTGTATTACAGTATATATAGCTAATACATATAATAATAGTCTAAATTTTCATACTTACGAGGACGATCAAAAATGCTTTGAATGTCCTTCCACAAGTGAGGACAAGCTAYGCTGACTGTGTAAGTCTTACCCCACCAGAAACTTACAATACGACCATAAGTTTTGTGAAGATGTTGTATATATTGATACAAACTACCAGCTTCTTGCATGTCACCAAGGTTGCCAAGCCTATGCATAATAATCATGTTAATTCAAGTTGACAAGTCACCTGGTCAACAAATTTTCATAAAATATATATTTTTAAAATAATATGCTGAGTTTTAATAAAAAGTAAATTATTATTCAAAATAAATATGATTACTTTGTTTCTTTGCTGTTGTTTTTGAACATTATACACTCAGTAAGATGTTTTTTTTTATTTCAAAAACACAATTGTGTTTAAAAAATGATTATTATAATAATTAGAAAAACATGCATATTTATCCACAAGGAAGAATAGAGTTTATGAATATATTTCAAACTTTATTCTTGTGCATATACATTTAAAGTATTCAGTAGACTGTTAGAATCCCGTTAGCATTAGAAATACTGCTTAGCTCTGCAATTAGCTATAATTTTACAGGGATGATGCAAATGTGTTTTCAATAAATTTACAGACTTTGTTTGACAATAGCTTATAGGAGAAATTTCTCAGCCAACTTAACTCAAGCAATCAGACTTGTATTATGGAAATTCTAGTCCAGGTTCTTTCAATAATTCGTTAAATCTACCAAATATATTTAATGGTTTTATAATTGTACTCAATTAAGTGAGCGTGCAAATTTCTACAAATTGTGGAAAACGAAAATGTTGGATTTTACACCCTGGCACTCTTCCCAGGGGGGGGGGTACTCCCTGTTAAAAAATGGGTGGGGGTCCTCATTGTCTCTTTTAGGGTTTGAAATAAGTGTTTTGGTCCCGCTTAGGGTGATAGTGACTGGAATTCCCACCAGCTGAGTTTTGTGGTCCCTTTTAGGGTATATGATGGCCCTAAAGCCATCATTATAAGATCAACAACAACCACAACTGCTAATTAGATGATTGATCTGCTCCATTGGTTGAGCACCCGACTACAACGTAGGAGATCATAGCCAGACCAATACTCAGGGTCTTAAAATAATTGAGAAGAAGTTGCTGCCTTTGCTTCTCCATCTGCAAATGGTAAGATCTTCACGTCCTCTTGGATAATAATGTCACATCGGAGGTCCTGTGTTCTCTACTCTAACCCTGTAGTGGACATTAAAGAACCACTGAGGACTCAGGTATGGCCATCCTCAGTGTCTGCACTTYGGCCGCATAACCTTGAGGGCACTAACACACTAATGCACTAACAAATCTAACGTATTCATGTTTGTTAACTGCACGGCTGCTTAAAGCGCCTTCAATAGCAGTCTTTCCAAGTCCCTCACTATGTAATCCAGATGCAATTCAGATTATTGGTCTGCGAAATCCGGAAAGTCCGCCACATCTATCTCATCTCACCTCTCATCTCAATATGATCGAAAAGCATTTAATGCTTGTGCAAAAACCAATGCGATCAAAAATTACTGAGGATTACTTATAATTAAGATTAACCTCAAAGACATTGACATGTCCACCAATTACAATTACAATTTTGGTTTATTCACACTATTCTGTTCATAATTTACATTATTTACATGATTATTTATTTTCATTGAATATTTCTAATGTTCATTTATAATATATTATTAATTTGTATAAGTGCACGTCAACCGAAGGAGCTAAATTGCTTTTGAGTTGGTTGCCATAATTGTCAGATATGGGTCCAACAACAAAAAAAAAAAAAAAAAAAAAAAAAAAAAAAAAAAAAAAGAAAAGAAAAACGAATAAGATACATGAAAATAATGTTTTTTTAATTATCAAGAGAATATTATATTACGCAAAATTAGATAAATTTTTCTTGCAAACATGTATTACGTCAATATTATTTGAATGTGTACTGACTATTGGTTCTTATAGATTAGGTAATCCTTATACATACGTTTTATTAAGGATGTATAAGAAAGGCATTTGAATGAATATGGTACTGTTTCCCAGACCTTGGAGCTAGTGTATTTAAAAGTGAATTTACCGTAGTTTGTAACAATGTACAGTTCAGATAGGTACAATTGAGTCACAGAATATATCATATGAGGTTATACATGTGGCCAAGTGAAGTTGTGTTCTTTTGTAAACTTCACATGACGTTTATAGTTCGTTACTTTAAGGTATCTGGATACAGTTGTTTAGAACACCGACCGAGACAGTGTACACCAATTTGTTGGGGAGTAAGAGGTATGAAGCAAAAGGTATGTTTTGAGTGCATGCTAGCTCTTTTGAGATAAACAGATTCTGACAGCCTTAACTCGAAATAGAATCCTAGAATTTGTTTTAAATTTGCTGTCCATAAAGCCAAAACCCCTCTAGTGTTTTCACATCTCACTAAGTTTGAATTGATTATTTACAACGGACTCAAGAATTTTTTTAAAAACGTACATTTTGCATCAGTGATTTCACAGTTACCTCGCAATCTATGCAAGGGTATTAGTTGTTGTACCGATTCGGATCATTTAAACTTCTGTAATGTTTTTTGAAGACGTTGACTCTTGAAAACAAGAGTGGGTATTGAACTTGAGTTTTTGTTGTGCAAATTGGTTTTCTTTTTGTAGAACTCTTCTCTTTTATTTCGCCAGGTAAATTTCAAGATGATGCAGTTCAACTTTTTTGGTGTCTGGCAATGTGAAATTGAAATGTCCTTGTTATCTATGTTAACTCCAATCAACCCAGCAACACCCTTGATGATTTGATTAGTGTTTTTTCCCCGGTGCCACAGTAATCTCAATTCAGTCCCTGCAGAGATATTGTTGTGCATCATCAACGTCAACATTGATGCTGTAGATTTCTTCTTTGATACTTTCAATTTGCTTATCAATTATTTTGGAAATGTCTTTCCTTGTTGTTTGAGTTGTTGACACTAGATTATCATATTTGTTTGAGAGGAAGGATTGTGATTCCTCGATCTTGTTGATAGTTTAGTTGACTTTCGCAATCTTGTTGCTGAGGGTGGCTACTTCACCTCGGATGCTTTCTTTTACTTTTGGTACTAGCTCATCTTGCCAAAACTTCATGAAGCATTCCTTGGTAAGTAMCTCAGTCATATTTACGTTATTAATTCGAATAGAACAACAGTATAGTAACGAAAAGAAGGTTGTTAGCGGAACAATGAAATAACGACCCTTCCGTCACGGTAGACACTTACAAATGAAACAAGGAAACAGTAATTTTGAGACAGATAACATTTCATACACAACTAAACTGTATTGACTTTGAGATTTTGTCCTCTTGAAGAAGTACAATCTGAAACAGAGCTGTGTACAGATGGATGTTCCTGGGTTCTGAAGCCCCCCTCCAGTTAGGTGTAGTCCAAGTAACAAATTGCGTAAAACCTCTTTTGGTATCCAACAACTTTTTATGGTATATCACAAATTGCACGCTGTTMTTGGCTGCTCAACCATGGTCTATTGGGTTTAAGTATCCAACAACTTATGCAGTATATTACAAATCGCACACTCTCATTGGTTGCTCAACCATGGTCTATTGCGTGATATCCCATGGTTGGAGAAAACAAAAATGGTGAAACGCTCTTAAGTCAATTTTTAGTTGTTYTGGCAATAAAAATATTACTTTTTTTTGACTAAAAAACGATCAATATATTAATTATTTTTGTTTTTGTAGTTGTAATGTAAGTCTAAAAATTAGCAAAAATCATTTTTTTTTTCAACTAAGTGTGCATGCAAGACGTGATGTGTCAGCAYATGTGCATGTTCTCTTATTGACTCACTCTTATCACCTAATCAGCACACAAGAATTYACACAAGTGTAATAAAATGTTAGTTTGGTGTAAAAACAATACTAAATAAATGCAGTTTGTCACCATCTTCACAGTCTTGAAACCCAAAAACAGAAGAAGGTGGAACCACCTTCATAAATTCCCTTTCACATGCCTACCATTGTCCCCAGTGAGTGGGAACAAAATGTTAAATCATGTTGCTTTTGTTGAAAATCCTAGCTATTTGTTGACTCATGTTAAACTAAAAATCACGTTTTCCTGTTGCTTAAAATATAAGCATTTTATTGATTTATTGGGGTTCTACAYAGTGTTTTCCTACTTAATAGTTTTTGAAAGATTAATATTTCAGAAACTTTTGCCCAGTTATCTCCTTGCTTCAGCAAAAGACCAATTGAGGTCACCAGTTAAATTAAGTGAAAATTAAAAAGCTGGTTCATAACACTATCTAATAAGCAGTTTGAAGTTCTACTTACTCTGTATGGGTAGGAACAGGTCCAGGAATATTTGAGGCTTTGGTTGATTTGCGCTGAAAATATCATAAAATAAAAAAACTGAACTATGATATTTAAATATGACACAAAATAAAACAGTAATAGAAACAGCATTAAAAAATTGTCTAGATGTCCAGCTACTGGAAAAAAAAGCAACACTTAAGCTTTTTGATTAAGTAATAGATTCCATTTTCCATGTGTCTCTACTCTAATAGATACACAGATGACGTTAAAAATGTGTGAATTAAGAATGTGATGAGAACAAAAAATAGTTAAAMATTGTCTGTTGTTCTCATCACATTTTGACATCATCTATCTATCTATTTGAGTACAGATGCACACACAAAAATGGAATCGATTTGTTTTATATAATACATGTAGTTTCCTCAATTTTTTCCAGAGTGGGCATAATTTCATTGAAACAAGTGAACAAACAAAACAGATCACGCACGGGTAGCAACAAACCCTGGACCCAGGCCATGGGCTAGGCCATGGCCTACCAGTGGCCCCCACAATGTCCTACCTATTTTTCACCATTTTATATATAATCCAAAAAACTACATCTGTATTAYATCAGGATCTATAAATAATTGTCAATATGGATCATTGCCGCCAGTCTGGCGAGTTTTTATCATAAAATCAATGCATAAAAATCACCATTTCAAGTTCATGTTATCATTCTTCATTTGCATGTTACGTCATTAACCGAAAAAAAATTAAATTAAAACTCGATTTYCCATTATATAGTTTAGAAAGCTATGTTTCGAGATGATTTTTGTGAACTTATATCTGAATAATTTTAAGTTTTATTTGGTAGCCAATGTCATGTCACACAACGCCAGGTCACGTATCTGAAAAGCCGTGGAAATCATCTAAAATTCTTCTAAATCATAATATTCTCTTTTAAACTAATTAGTACAATTTATATATTATATAAAACAAATGATTTCAGATTCTTTAGTACTTCATTTTTTGTGCTACTTCATGGTTCAGTATAGCTACATGTACAATGCACTCAAAAAAGAACTAAGGAATCTTATAGAATTAAATATTTAAGTAAATAAACGATTGATTAGAATGACTAAAATCAATCGATAATCTAATGCACTCTATGCATAAATTTGTAGTTATAGAATATAAACTAATTGAATATATGAACTGTTACTAATGTGTCTCCATTTCTGCTGGTGCAACCAGTTTATAAACAAAACAATTTTATAWACTAGAACAAGAACGCTATTAGTACTTCAACACGAACAATATGTTTATAATAACTGTGTGCTCAASAGACAATAACAACTTGCTGCAAATTAAATATCTGATCTCCAKTAACATGTCACAGGAACAATTTATAATACAGCAATAGACTTAATTCACACATAATATATGCGCTATTCATATTTATGTGTCACAGTATTTGTATGTTAGAATACTTATACTAGAGTGGATCATCTGTGCAAATGACTAATTGTATATAGGTTTTGAAGTCGAAATTTCTACTCMAACCCAAATTTGAAAAGGCGGCTTATTGGTCTTACTACGTTGTGTCATCACGACTGACATCATGTTCATTTGATTATCTGAATTGATAGAAATACTTGACATACTTGTAAATTAACTTCAAATATACGTACATGGTGATTTCTTTTAGAGTTTCACTGCAAACAACTCAAGAGAAATTGAATCGAATATCAAAAGTGAATTATTATCGTTGGTCGTAGTCAGGCATAATCGTGATCGCTCACGTCCAAGTTGCGTCGAAACTTATACACAATTGACAGCCGAAATTCTTATTATTACATGAATTTCAACAGTAATCTTCGTATATATAATATTGGGGCAAGATGGTGGGGGCGAGATGGCAATGGRGCGAGATGACCGGTAACGGATTAGTAATGATCTCATCGTAAAAACTATAAGAAAGTGCACAGATTGACACATGCACAGTTCCCTATAAATAGCATTAGCACATAGCATAAATAGATTGTAATCACCTATAACTTACAAAAGGTTTTCATGGTGATAATGAAGACCAAGTGCAATGCATCATGTATTAATGACATTATGTCTAATARTTTTAATTCAGTTGAATGAAACTGTTTTGTTGCACATTAGAAGAAGGTGAAACAATTGTGAAACAAAAAAGTTCAAGAAAGAGAATACCACAGGAAGCCTTTAAAAACTTGCCAGACTGCCGGCAACGATCCATATTGACACCGATATATCGATCCTGATATTATTCAGGGATGTAGTTCTTTTTGGATGTTATCTTTAAAATGGTGAAAAATAGGTACGCCATAAGGTAGGCCATAGTGGGGGCCACATGTAGGCCACGGCCTAGCCCATGGCCTGATCACGCACACTAATTCTGACCAATCATGTAAGATTAAATGCCATAATCTGTATGTGTGTATATAATAGCACAAGGTTCTTGACCAATCCAAGAGTGCATACTATACAAAATATTATATAAATCAGAAGTAAATAATTAGCTAGTTTATCATACTGGTTAGTAAATACTCCAGTTTCGATTTCTCTTTTGTGCAAGCTTAACTTCAATTAACCATTATTATTTTTTTGTCTTTATACACAGAGTGTTTACATCACAAAAGATTCTCTGCTGAATCACAGGGAGCACAGGCTCTTTACCAGTGGTTCTTATGTACACAACCCCTTCCCTTCTTTGTTTGGTGGGGAGAAAGGCACATTCGTCAGGGGATTGTAAAATACATCAATAACAATTTGTTATATATAGTTTTGTTTCAATCCAAGCGAAAAATTCACGATTCAATAACACAAGAGGGAAGGGGAGGGGTTGTGTACACAAGAACCACTGATAAAGAGCCTGTGCTCCTTGTGGCCGAATAATTAGCAAATTGCACACAGTTTTGAGTTGTATTGTCCTCTTATTGACACACTCTACATCAAATTTTCAATAAGTACAAACAACTCAAAATCGTTCACAATTTGTTTTTTACCACATTTAAGTCTAAAAATTAGCGAAATCATTATTTTCTTTCAGCTGAGCATTTCCTCTTTTTGACACACTCTTATCAGCCAATCGGCGTGCAAGAATTTACACAAGTATGGTAATATTAACAGTTACGTACATCTTGAGGGCATGTGGACTATGAACTATCAGCTCGTAGTCCACAAGGCCGAGAGATCTAATTGTTTTCGTATTACCACACTAGTTGGACAAAACATGAATGAAATATATAAATAACTGAATTTTTTTATTGCTAAAAATATGCAAAAAGTTGTCGCTTTTCGCTAGTGAAAATAGACCCCGAGTAGCGTAGCCAATCAGAACGAGGTATTAATACCACTTGTAAGGTAATACTAAAAGAATATTTTACATGATTTCAGGCTGCACAAATAAGATCTCGAAACGGWGTGGTGAAAATCGTTATTAGTCTAAGATTTAACTCTCGGACATATACCTAAACAATAGAAAAAGTTTCAAATTGTTTTTGCTATGGCTTTGTATTTTATAAAAGCTAAAGCTTACAAGTTAAAATTCAAACTTAAAGTTACATAGATTAAAGCCCGGTCTACACGAGCAATTTTTATGTGACAACTATATGTGGCAATTTAATATGAAGCTCGTCCACACGGACTCTCGTGTAGACGGCTCTCGTGTAGACGGGGYTTTATGCACACTTTATGTCTTATAATTAATAAAGCGTTAAGTTATGAAAACTTACAAAATCAAATAATGAAACAAGAATCACAATCAAAGCGAACACTGCAACAACTGCAAATATACCAAAGTCTGCAACATGGACATGAGCAGGAAACATCATAAAACGAGAACGACGGTAAAGAGGTAAAACCAAGTTTTGAAGCTTTTCCTTTTGCGTTGCGTTCCACTGCCCTGTTACACGTATATGCACTCTTCAACAGTCTTTTGGGTTTAGGTATTTTCTCTATATTGAAAGCCGAGCAGGAGACTGTGGAAGAGTTTGTTGTTGTTTTATCTTTAGTTTGATTTWTTTATCAAAGTTTTTGCTTTTTTAAGCAACAATACTAGTAGTTGTAACTATTCTATAAAAAAATGCCCGGGGGACAAATTTCGGGTGAATTAAAGCAGCAAGGCCAAAAACCATACACTGGTCAGCGGCTCGATACCCGTATGAGTACGCTCCCCCCGCCCCCCTGCAAAAATGTTACCTTAGATCTAAGAGCGCGCGGAGACTGACGGGACGGCAGGTTGGACGGATGTGTGCTTGCTTCGTGTGCTGAGATTTTGGTCCTTTTTCTCGTTTACGGGGATGCAGTTCGCGTAGTTCTATTGAAGAATGTCAACTGATGAGGTAATCAAAGATTGCAGTCTACTATTTTCTTTTACTACCACTATGATTAAAAAGCGAAAATAAGCTATAAGAATTTTTGGCGCCATTCCGTTTACGTCCAAAGTTTATTTACACTACATTCGTAATCTTTTCTACTTAAGCTTAACTTTTAAGGTTCATATATAAGGGTGTTTTTGTCCTTGAATGGAAGTAGCTGTAATTTCCTAAAAGATGAAGTGACGGTTTTGGCCGCCATCTTGTCCGGTAGGCATAGTGTCGCAAAATAACAAGGAATAACCAGCAAATCGATGTCGAATAATTCCCGCTGAATTCAAATTCGGAAAGAGTTATCAATTGCAAGCATAGATACTGTAAAAAAGGAGTTAACTGTCCAAATTTGAAGGGCGTACTTGATCTAGAGAGCGAGTAAGGCCGTGTTCACACCAGCAGAGTGAGATCGATCGCGACCGGTGCAGTTTCGTTCACATTACAAATTAGTCCGATCTCGACCGGTTCAAAGTAGACCGATTCAAAACCTGTTCTACTTCCGTTCGAACTAAAACTAAACCGATTCAACTGCAAATGTGAACGCCTGAATCGGTCGAGATCAGTCTCGCGCGCGAGCCTGCATTCCCGCCAAGACTTTTAAAACCGGAAGTGCACTTTTCRCTGCGCRAGCGCGCCGGAAGKGATATCGAGGGTTTAAAATATTTTTATCCTVTCTCTGTACGATACTGTACGATTGAGTATTTGTAGTAGCTGCTGTTTTTTTGTTATGGCCAAGCCAGGAGAAACGTGGGGTTTTAAAGAAACCAGCATTTTAATTGATTCATGGGCGGATGAAAAAATTCAAGCCCAATTAAATGATTCCCCGAAGAGAAACATCAAAATTTTCGCGGATATTGTCTCGAAAATAAAAGATACAATGCCAGAATTCAGCCGATCAGCTGACGACATTAGGGCTAAATTAAAAYGCCTGAAATCAAAGTACTTCCTTGTGAAGAAACAAATAAATAAAAGTGGCTCAGAAGCCCCAAACTGGCCATTTTGGAGTAAAATGCACAGCGTTTTGGGTCATCGTCCGATCAGTTCACCGGTCGCTATGGTTAACACTATGAATTCTGTAACTGTGGATGACAACAGTGAGTAAAATTTCGTATATTTTATTCAATCTTGATTAATAATGAATGTTGAAAATCCTTTCTAACAAAGTCTACCTTATAATCTATGCTTTTTATATAGCCCTTCTCAATTTATCTGTTATTGTTTTTCTGTGTTAGACGATCCTACAGATGATATGGTAACAAGATATGGCAGAGGAGAAATTTTCACAGAGAAATGCTCATGTGGATTTGAATCCGACCAATTATTTTCTTCTGGTGTTCACGTCTCTGAGTGTGGCTCAGTCAGATGCTATGCACAAGAAGACACATTCGTCTGCCCAAAATGTGTTGGGAAAACCCCTGAAAATGATACGGCCAAATCAGATTCTTCTCCGGGTTTGTAAATTGAAATTGATGACCATGGTTAAATATTTCACTTAATTTATATCTTTATATACAATAGTTTGACTGATGAAATTCATTTCGTTTCAGAAGAGAGCACTTCTATTTTAAACGGCAAAGACGTCAAACCATCCAGAAAAACAAGGTGAGCACAGTAAAATGGAAATCAAGTCAACACAAATTGCCCTGAAATTGTAGCATATAAGCTAATAACAGGGGTCATAAGCATTAATTTGTGTTCTTGTATGTCATTAGCAATGTTTGAATATTTATTTACATGGCTTATAGTATTGGTGTTCTAAAGCTACAAAAGTTTAATACATTGTTATTCTGTATTTTTTTTAAGAGCAAAAAAAGAAAAACAAAAGAAAAAAGAAAGAATCACTCAAAGATGTGATTATGCAAATTTCAAAAGACGAAAAGGAGCAAGGGGATGCCTTCATGCACAGGTTAATTGAAATGGAGGAAAAAAGAATGAAGATTGAAGACGAGAGAGAAGCCAGGAGAGAGCAGGCTGAAACCATAATGTTCGAAAGACAAATGGAAATGCTCATGCAAATGCAAGTGCAAATATTAGGCACATTTCAAAATTTGAGGGGTCCACAGTGAGTGATGTTCACCTCAAATTTAGAAATAAGCTTGGCATTTTATTTGCACTTGCATTTGCATAAGCATTTCCATTTTTTGTCTTTCGAACACCCAATCACAGGGTTTTTATTTAAAAAAATGCTTCCAGTTTTTTTTATTTCCAAGTTTTTATTATTATTGCAGCTTGATGCCACTGAAACCAAAATGTTTACAACTAAGCAATAATCATTTGTTAATAGAAATTTCGATTGTCATTGTTTGCTTAATGACAAAACGTTTTTAACTGGAAATGTCACCAACTTTTCAAAAGCATTTCAATCACTATTTTTCATAAAATAATTGTATGCTGTAAATTCTGGTAAAGCCAAAGTTTGAATTATGTTATAATTATGATATTAATGCATCAGATTTTTATATAGTGCATTGCAGAATATTTTTTTTACAAACTTTTTTTGATGTCAGATATTGTATGACAAAATACTCAAAAGCACAAATTGTTAAAAACATAGTAAATTACAATTCATTTTCATAACACTATATATTCAATGCTAGAAACTAGAAACCTATTATGAACTGAGAGCTAACTATCTGTGCATCTATACAGAATTTGGACAAATGGCCAATAGGAATCTATTTACATGTAATATTTTTTTTAATAATCCAAGTATTAATCATGCACAGCAACAAATTAACTTTGCTCTTTTAACGCCTCATGGCTTTCATAAACCATAAATTCAGGTGATTTTTTTTTTCCATTTTGGTGGTCATTTATGTGTGTATAGTACRTAACTATGTCCCTACAAGATTACTTAATTTATTTAGTATGTGTGTTATTAAATTTAGTATGGTGTGTTATTAAATTTGTGTCGCACACTGAAACTGTTCATATGAGTATTTGAATAAAAATTCRGAACAGTCCTTCAAATAGATGAGTATAGGTATCCTTTAGCTCCTTCAAATAAATCAATGAAACACCATTTCCATGTGGCATTGTGAAATGTACAATATAGATTCATTTGGATT